AATAAGTCAGAGAAAGGTGGTGGGTTGTCCTTTTGCTGTTCTAATTGTAATTTGGTTAGTATAGTGTTATCCCAACACCCACGACAAAACTGCTTCAGCAGATGTTTATTCATGTCAACAGCTGCAAGTCCTCCTTGCTTTACAACAGTGCTGAGGGTTAGCTGCAATCTTTGGAGGTAAGCGGATGGTCGTTCACCTGGATTTTGAAGAATATTTAAGTATTGAGCATACAATTCTTCACCATCTTGAACTGTTCCAAAAGCGGAGTCAAGTACACTTAGTATGACTGAAGGCAGTGTGTTGGGACTTAGACCTTTAACCAAATCAGCAGCAGGTGACAACAGGTTCTCTATAATACGTCTGGTGACGTATAGAGCTGACAAACTGGGGTCGGCAAGCAATAGATCAATTTGGGAACGCCATGATTCAAAATCTGCTTCACTACTTGGCTTAGGAATCCTTCCTGAAAAAGCACGGAGACGTAGTGAAGTTGTGGTGCTTATGTCTGGGTTTCGGACCACATGCTCAACAACAACCCTTTGTATTTGTGGTGGGTTGAGATCATGGGCTGTGAGTGATACTCTTTGAGTTGGTCCAGTCTGGCTTTGACGAGGTCGTGCCCCCTGCTGGTCAGTGGAAACCTGTCCGGCAGGGGGTGAAGACAATTGCTGCTGCTCCAGTTCCTTTTCTTCCTCCTCTATGCCATTGTCCTCGTCTACTCCATTTTCCTCATCATCTGCTCCTGCTTCATGCAAATGTTGGCCAATCTGCCTCATTACCGTCTTCAAGACATCTTCAAACCGGTGCCCGCTGCGGTCAGCAATATGCTTGAGCTCTTTGAGGTAGTTGGGAGGGGGACTGCTGCTGTCCTCTGTGGCGGCGTACTCACAGGCCAAAGCTGTGACGCGGAACACAAGGTCGGCAACAATTTTAGAACAGTGGGTGTAAGGCAGAAACGGCTCTAGAGTTGTAAAAGCAGTGGTATCTACAAACTCAGCGATCAGGTTTTTGAAGAAAGTACTCGCGGGATCATTTACGTAAAAATGACGGTTAAGATTCCCATAAGTACGCAAGTAGTCAAGAATTTCGTTATCAGCTTTTGTGTTAGACACACCGGAGATCATCACAGACTGTGATATATTTATGCCGGAAAGTGCAACTGAATCCATTTTTGATTTGATTTTCAGCAAAAATAAAGTAAGTAAAGAAAATTGTATGTATGACCCCAAAATATTCACACACAAAGGCTCCTGGCTGGCTCGCCACTTGAAAAAGATGTTAAACGCAGACTACTTTAGGCCCGGAAGTAGGATTCGTCACGTCATCAACTTAACGACCGGATTTTGCCAAGGAATGGAATAAGACTCAAACTATCACCCTCAGGAAATTAGTTTGGATGTTCAGAAAATGTTACCAACTACCAAACTGCTGTAACACCAGCATCTGCAGTATGTGAATGTTATATTACATCTGTGTGAGCTAACCACGTCTTATGTTCTAGGCGTGGGTCCTTATCCTTTTCTGAATTAGAGCTTTTGTAACTTGTAATTGGGCACTCCTTTTGTTGTTATCTGTTATAGTTCAGATAACTATGAGTTGTACTCTTCTGACAGTGCCAAGTTGGCTTTTTCACTGGAGTTATTATGCAATTGTGTGCTGAGATGGGCGCAGGCTGTTTTAAAGACCTATACTAAGCTCTCTTATAATGAATTCATTATCAAATTTAGGGTAGTGTTCTGCCTGCAGTTGGCCAAGGTAAGCGCATTATAGCAGCTGATTTTTGTTCCAATTTGTCCCAATTCCGCCAGTCCCTTTATTGTGGGGGGAATGAATCCAGGTTGTGATAATTTGGTCAATCAGCTGCATGTCCCTGCTCCTCTGGCTGCTGTTGTCCCTGTGGTTGGCGTACTTGTCAGATATCGACAAATTTTGCACTACAGGCCAGTTGACAGCGTGCAATAACCCGGCCGATTCATTCATCTTTACACTACCTCACAATCGACTCAACGGTGAGTTATTTGTTTGTTTTGTTTTGTCACAATTAATGACAATGCGGAGCCGCGATCGCACATCCTAAAACCAGTAAGCTAAAGCTAGGCTAGCGACAGTAAGTGCAATTACTAGTTTTATTTATTGAATATTGTTGTTTTTGTTTATTCCGTTATGGACGAATGTTGACTTAATGTATCTAGAGTTGAACGAGTGATTTGATTTTTGTAGTTTTGTCCGTTTTGGATGTTTTTTGTTACTTTTCTGATGAAATGCCAAAACGGCCTATGAGATTTTGCATTGAGTTAAATTCCATTGAGCTTATTGAATCTGTTGCGCAACACCTGTGATTAAATGAGTTTTGTAAATATATTTTGATTAACTTTGGATAATATTTATTAGCTTTAACGCTGATATACTTTGATGGGACCCATGAGAATGTTTTTCTATAATAGTATTTAGAATGAAATTCATTATAAGAGATGATGGTTTATTGATTGTTGTATGAAACGTGGCATTGATTACTTGACTTTGTTATTTATGGATTTATGTATTTATTTTGTCACAGCAGTAGAATGCTGTTTCATTTTCTTCTGTGAATGATAATTTATGTTTTTGACCTTGTTTAGGTCAGGTTTTTTTTTTTCTCCCGCGATCAGCCCTGATCAGCGTGAGATGGCGAGCCACCCGACCACCGCTACGTTGCGGTAGGATTATGAACCTATGGACTGAATCAAATTGTTGACACATGACCTATCACAGGTCCATGGAACTAAAATAACTCACATACTGGACTACACCTCATTCCACCTCCTTTTGGAACCCAATAAGCTGTTTTGTATTGTCAACATTATTTTTGGTTGTGATATATATGCATATTTATTTATTTTTTTGTACATCTGTCTATATATTCCTCATAACAAACATAATATATATATTTTGAGCTCAACTTTGATTTCCTGTGTTTTATTCACACCCTCAGGCTCCATAGTCGAAACCTATTCTGATAGCTCATTGTCTATGAGGCTGCAGTCAGGCGCCCTGGTCCTTTAACCGCGTTACAAGTGGCGAGCCAGCCAGGAGCCTTTGTGTGTGAATATTTTTGATTCTGATAGCTCATTGTCTATGAGGCTGCAGTCAGGCGCCCTGGTCCTTTAACCGCGTTA